TCTCTCTCTCTCTCTCTCTCTCTCTCTCTCTCTCTATATATATATATATATATATATATATATATATATACATAGCTCTCTTTTTATTGTTATTAGGGCTATTACCTACCGCCGATGTGTACTAGTAGTATATATTATCAAATACTGGTTGACATTTTATGTGTCTGATAAAAAATCCTGTCCATTTTAATAATGATTCTGAGAATTCTTAAATTTTAAGGCCAAATTTGTATTTGTCCGTACGTACTCCAACAAGTCTTGAAGGGTTATTACATTTGCTCAGTGAAGATGAAAGAAATGGGAAACATTTCAACGGTCCAACGATCATTTATTGTTCCACCCGTATTCTGGTTGATGAAGTTTACGAATATTTGTCTAGTAAGAGCTCCATTTTTAATAAATATCTTTGCACTGCTTTGATGGAATGATTGAAACGAATTTCATATTATTGTCAGATTGCCTCAATACATTTGTGGTAAATTACAATATGATGTTCATACAAATGTTCCATCTTAAAGAATTCAAATACACATGAAAACACTGGAACTTCAAGCATTACAGAGGAAGGAGTGCAGTGCACGCGATATCATGCAGGGATGTCAACGGTAGCTAGGCGAAAGGCCCACGAATGCTTTATGAAAGATCGCATAACGACGATTATTGCAACTGTAGCATTCGGTATGGGAATTGATAAAGCGGATGTACGGAATGTTATCCACTATGGAGGTTACTGTTTAGCTGTATTTTTCACCACATTTCTTCAGTTATTAGATATAAATTAAAAGATATGTTGTGAGTTTTGCTACCACTGCATGCCAATAATTTTCAAGAATCTTACTAGTGCAAATTTTTAGCCCCGAAAAATATGGAAAGTTATTACCAAGAAATTGGAAGAGCAGGTCGTGATGGTTGTCCCAGCAAGTCCATCGTATTTTTCAAGGACCAGGAATTGACTAAACATCGGTTATTTTTTCTTACCCATTTTTTCTCTCTAATAATGCTAGTTATATTGAATCCACCAATATAGGAATAGGCAATTAGAACTGATAAGCGATGAAAAGGATGGTTTTGTAGGAAGGCTTGCGAGTTTCATGGTTTATATTAGATGATAAGTATCATGGAGGGGCAAGGCAAAAAAGCTGTTTATATTTTTATTTCATTGATTTTCAGGTACTGTATATTGGGGGAGCAAAGCTGGAAAGAAAACTATAAGAAACATCTGTTAGAAATGCTCTCCTTAATGGAACGATTTCTTCACGCAGAAAGCTGCAGACGATTGTTAATACAATTTCTTTTATTTCTTTCATTTACTGTCTGCACAGATTCTTCAGGAAGAATTGGCAGATTCTTATAGATTCTTCAGGAAGAATTGGCAGAATTTCTATTTCAAGTTATATTTCTATGTAGTAGATCATGATAGAACTACCTGAAAACTGGTGATAAACTGTACTTTGCAATTGATGTCAATGTTTATTAGGTCTGTCTTTTTTGTAATTTTAGGGTTGCTTATAAATAGGTCTACTTTTTAATACTCTTGGCAGTTGAGGCTGTATAAGATTTCAGAGCAGAGAAATACTCTATTAGTTCAGCTTAATGGAAGGTACTGACTAAGAATACTGAGCTTATAATTTCCAAAAAACCGGACGAGTTTTCTAAACTCACTAAATATTATTATCCCGCATAATTACAAATATTTAGCGACAGTATAAGAACAGAAATTACTTTAGTCGAGAATTCCAAATAATTACTTTTTAATTTAGCTTACTTCTATCCCATTTTGATGAACGCGTGAAAAAAGAAGCAGGGAATGTAGGATGTTGTGATATATGCGATCAACTCATCGGTTCTGAAAATAGTGCTATTGGTCGTTCATTAACTAATTCAAAAAATTATGGTAATGAGTCATTGATATTACTTCGTGCCATCGACATTTTTGCGGGATGCACTGGTCTGGGAAAAGTAATCGATTTCATCAAGGGGGTGACATTATTTTCTTTATTCTTCATTCATACTTCCTTCATACTTCATTATTTCCTTCATAATTTTGCATATCTAATCATGTCTTATATTTGAGATTAGTTTTATAATAGTTGCTAAATGTTGTAGTATGGTTTTCTTAAAGTTTAAAACATCAAGTACCGATTGTTCGCTACTGATGGCAAAGAAAATAAATATTTCTGTAGCGTAAATTATCTTTATTGCAGAAAGCAAATGTTATCCAAGCAAAGCAAAAAAGCGAATATTATGGGTCAGGAAAGCACAAAACAGGAGTTTTTTGGAAGGAGTTGGGGCGCATATTAAGATTGAATGGTTACATCACTGAAACGAAATGCTCCTTCAACAATTTTGCTCATCTTATATCGCTTTCTGATAAAGGACAAAATTGGTTGTACGGGAAAAACAAGGTTATCTTTTATTTCTTTAGTAATGATGTGCTGGGTTTGCATTAATGTCTTATAAATTATTCATATCCAGTTTATTTGGCCTATGCAAATTTCGGAAAGAGAAAAAATTACAACTTTTTGAAAATCATTTGAAAAATTTTTAGCGAAATTCAAAATATGTACATATTTGTCTCCGGTGATTCTAAAATTTTCAGGAACTGTTCCTTGAACCAACTCCTTTGTTAATTGGTCGAATCCGAGTAAATGGCGAACATTATATACCTCGAAGTAACGAATCACTTCCTTCCAAGTAAGTTTTTTCTCCCTTCTTCCAATATGTTTTTGCCTGCCGAAAGCTATCTCTATTGCTTGCTATGTCGGCGTTTTAGAAAAAAAAGGCATTGTTCGTCGTCCATCATATATATTTCAGAATATTAAGCTTTAAAAAACAACGTGAGTACAAGGATTACAATTGTTACAACAAAATAATGCATTCGAAGGGCATCACTGCTTCTGTAAGTAATTGACGAAATAGCGAATTCAAACGATATTTACAATTTCCTATTTATCAGCAGCAGTCTACTCAGTGGTTCAATACTAAACGGGTTAAATTTTACTGTTAAAGCTTAGATTGTCTTACAATGATTTACATAACCATATTTCTACACACTTAATTTAGGATGAGCTCGAAAAGATGTTGTTCGAGACACGTACAAACCTGGCTATAGAACATAACTGTAGTACCCATATTATTGCATCAAATAAATGCGTTCGACAACTAGCGACGCTACGACCGTCTTGGTCTGTTTTTGCTAAAATCTAAGAGTAAACGATTTGTTGAACTGTATTGTAAAAAGTTAATATTGTCCCATGAATTATTTTTCTATCGTGAACGTTATTATTTATCGTCGACGTGAACGTTCTAACATTCAAAAATAAAGAGAGTCCTACGGTTTTACCCAAACTTTTAAGTTCAGTAAAATTCAGTATAGTTTTTCATGGAAAATCAGAACTGTTGCAGTATGCAAAACTTGTGCATGATCGAAGAAATGACGGGGGAAAAACAGCAAAAATTTGGACAGAAGCTTATGGATACAGTTATTGAATTCTGCACTGCTCACAATATGTCTATGGATTGCATGACCAATTCAACTGTATGTCGTTACTCTGACAATCTCATATTTATCATGGAATGTGGTATTCGAACTAAGAAACTGCTATGGATTCTTTGTAGAGGGTATATGGGAGCCATTTGTACCAAGTAGTTCTCATGATGAAAAGGATCATGGTTGGATTCGTGAAATAGAGAAACAGTTTATGCCGTTGTTGGGTGGAAAATAAGTTTCTTTGGTTGGTTGGGTAGGGATGTGAGCAAGTAACGATGGGGATAAAATGATAAGGTGTAAGTAAAAATTGTTGCGCCTGTGAAAATAACAAGCTTGATTTCAGTTGCCAAGAGAAATAGAGCAAGGAATGTGTACACTAAATGAAACTTGTACTGATGTTTATCGAAATCATATCAAGGAGAAGCAGTCACTGGTTAGTTATCGATCGCCGTCATTTCAAATCTGTATCATTATGAAAGATACTTTTTTGTATATTTAAAGTAGAATTTGTAAGAGAAATAACATGCGAAAGTGAGTGTTACTGCATTCGTTCTGTGATTTTTTTTAGATCCAGAATTACAGAGGAAAAATTGTTCAAGGATTTAGACCAGCAACGTTTTTTATAACTCTTGTGAAATTTTTAGAATTATGATTTTTAAGCTGCCTTTGAAGTTTGGGAATTGCAGAAAAACTTCTAGCTTAAGAACTTCTAACTCTAGCTTCTAGCTTATTTCTGGCTTTTTCATTGAATTCAATAACTGCTCAAGCAAAATACCATTGCTTGTTCTCTCGGAAAATGTTGGATGGAATGAACGTTGTTTGATTGAAGGGTGATTTGGCAGAAATATTTGCAATAAGCGAAGGAACTGTAGCTTCGTATTTTGTGAATTTCGTAAAAAATGGTCTGCCGATATATCTGGATGCTGTTGGGATAAAGAGACAGCAGATAGATATTGTTTACGGTATTATTCGAGAATATGGATCAGGTAATTCTTGGAATCAGTTGGAGGAGCTGGTGAAATTTAAGTACTCTAGAATAAGGCTAGGAACCCCCAAGATTAGTTTAAAATGCAACAGCATCTGGATATGTAAAAATACACACATTCGAATACCGCTAATGTTTTAATGTTCATCGGCAAATTGCCTTTGTAGGCCAAAGGAAACTTCATCGAAGGGGACTATAGTTTTATAGTTCGTTTTGCATCCGGTGAATGCTAAAAGAGAAGCCTATTATCTAAAAAAAAAAGTGTATTTACAAATTCCTGTCTTTTGAGCCGAAGAAAAAATTTTTTAAATTATTTTTGTTATAAATCACTTCCACACATCGGTTTTATCTAATTAACAAACTGTGAAAGTTACCAGTCTTGCCTATTATAGAGCTGCTTGCCTATCATTAAACTGAAAGTAATGCCTGATGTCGAAACTCACATAAAACTGAAGAGAGTATCTGAATATATTGAATAATTGCACAATTTGACATTAGTGCAACTTATTCCTCTAATTGATACGTTTTAATTATTGCAGACATTTTGCATATAAAGCCTATTATGGAGGCGCTTCCAAAAGATTTCATAGACTACAACCGGCTAAAAATTATTTTCACGATCCTGGAATATGAATATGGTGTTGTTGAAGATTCAGAAGAAGCACCGTGCAATGTCATCTCAGCTGAGAACAACAACAAACGGAATATTCCGGAATGGATGAAGGCACAAGCACCGCACTTATTGCAAAATAGAAAAAGAAAAAAATCAAGCTTGCTGAAATGATTGCATTTTGCGATAGACCTTTTCAAACTATTTGTAACATAAATAGGCCTTGCTATTAAATATTCTGCTTCATTCTTGCTTCGTTAATTTCACGTGTTCGACAAATCATGACATAAAAGTCCTTATAATGTGCTTCCTATCACTGCTATTCTTGCAAAAGGTTTAATAAGATTGAGTAATTTGTAGCTAAAATATCCTTCTATGGAACATAAAGTTCGCTTATCAGTATAGGCTAGAAATCAGAATTTGTGGTAATTACGACGAGCAACAGCATCCTGTCTAGCTGCTGATGGGGACGCTGATGCTTCTGGCATAGTTCGTTCTTCTGGTTTACATTTAACAGCTGAGGATGTTGCTATTTGTTCAGGTCGTATTTTCGATATTTGGAGTCGAAGTTTAGTTTATGGTTCACATGTCGGTTGGTGTTGGCTCGGACTGGCGTAGTTGTTTCTAAATTTTGATTAAATCAAGGTCCGAACTTTTACGTGTAGACTTGGGAGATATTCTTAAATCATGATTGGTGTGAAGTTTTGCTATTAGAAACATTCCGAAGTACAGAATAGAGAAGCACTAGTATAATCAGCAGAAATCTGGATTTTTAGTTGTTACACACGTAAATTAAAGATAATCACATAAAACTCATAAATAAGCAGATCAGTTTTATTTCTATTGGATAGAAATGTTAAAATACGTCAAAATAATTAAGGTATTTGTTGTATAAAGCATTTCCTAGATGAATGATTCATCATATTACACAACAAAAAAACGTTTTCTCATACCTAAAGTAATGAGTCAGTTGTCAAATCTTCAAATCCTCTAAAAATGTTTTTTTTTCTTTTTTTGTCTGATGTTGAGATTTGCGTATATCCGGCAACCAATCTGTAAACATTGGTAAAACAGTTCCAATTAGAAATTGTTTTATCAATTTCCTCTTTGTATAAAACTAACCTTGTATGTAAATTTCTCTTGCAGCTGTGAAAATACTGTCAGTTTTGTAAAAACCTTATAGGTAGCTATTCTCATATTGTAATCCACCGCACTTGTTCTAGAATTTGAGATTGTGACCCACTTTTCACTCAGTAAGCACTATATTCTGCAATGGGATTTTTACTACTTCACTTAAATCACCGATCCAGCTTATATTCTATTCTGTTTCTG